GGTTTGTCTGTTTGTTTGTGAGATAACAGGCAGGTAGAAACTCAGAGGCAGGTGAAGCCGAGGGAGAAAATAGAGCGTCTTCATTGTACACGTTCGTGGCTAGAGTAAGATACAACCATCTTAAGCAGTAACTCCAATACTCCATACGGCCTCTGTAGTCTCAGTGCGCTCAAACGAGGCAACGGTATTGATAAACGAGCTCTTTGTGCATGGGGACCTGTTAAAGAAGCGCAGTGGCACATGAGTTCAGGAACCCATCGCAGGTGGATGGAGCGCGAGCACATGTTGAACACGCACGCACGCACGCAGGCACGCACGACACGAAAACACGTCAGTGGAACACACTGCGAATCAACAGAAGGATGTTCGTTAGAGGTGTGGTTGTGTTGAGGATCCGCTCAGCGCCTGCTCGGTGTCGCGTGTCGGGCTGTGCCGGCCATGTTAGCGAGCGGGACGGCCGCTTGGCTGCCGCAGGCGTTCGCGGTGCTCCACTGGAAGGCGGTGACCAACTTCTGCCCCAACTGCGGCGTCGAGCTGCGCAGCAGAACGGCCGGCCACGCCAAGAGGTCAGTGGCGGCTGGGTCGGCGCCTCAGCGACACGGCGAGACACCAGCCGGCGGCGACAGTGCGGCAGGCACTGTCGCCGCACACTACCGTTTTACATAGATGAAGCTGAAATGTGTGCATTGGGTAGCCTGTGTTAACCGTGCTTTTGCGTGCATTGTATGTGCTAGACGAACGACTGACGGTTTGCGATGTCACCAGTTCAGTTCGTCCATTCGCCAGATGCCCCAGCTGTGAGACAGTGCAGTATCCCGTGACGCCACCGGTCGGCATCACCATGGTAACGGACACGGCACAGACGCGGGCGCTGCTGGTGCGACAGGGGCGCCACCCACCGGGCATGTACAGCTGTGTGGCCGGCTTCCTGGAGCCAGGTGAGCATCTCTCTGTCTACATGTACAGCTGTGTGGTCGGCTTCATGGAGCCGACCACAGCATGGGCATGAGCCTCTATGCGTCCACATGTAGAGCTCCGTTGGCCAGCTTCCTGGAGCTTGACGAGCTCCAATAAATGATGCACGCCACTGGTGTAGGCCGTGGTGTGGGATGATGTGGCCCGTGTCGGGTCCGATCAGTGTGGGATGATGGGGCAGTGTCGGGTCCGGTCGCGGTCGGTGTGGGATGATGGGGCAGTATCGGGTTCGGTTGTGGTCGGTGTGGGATGATGGGGCAGTGTCTGGTTCGGTCGCGGTCGGTGTGGGATGATGGGGCAGTATCGGGTTCGGTTGTGGTCGGTGTGGGATAATGGAGCAGTATCGGGTCCGGTCGCGGTCGGTGTGGGATGATGGGGCAGTAGCGGGTCCGGTTGTGGTCGGTGTGGGATGATGGGGCAGCGTCGGGTCCGGTCGCGGTCGGTGTGGGATGATGGGGCAGTATCGGGTCCGGTCGTGATCTCCGCTCGTCTCCGCCAGGCGAGACGATTGAGTCGTGCGTGCGGCGCGAGGTGGCCGAGGAGGTGGGCCTGGACGTGCACCAGATCCGGTACGCCGGCTCCCAGCACTGGCCCTTCGACGGCAGCAGTCTCATGGTCGGCTGTTACGCGCTCACCGATCACACCGAGGTGAGACGATCCTCTCACCTTGGGCGAGAGGAGCCGCGCTCAACAGATGGATGGAGCTCCATCTGAGGTGGGACTCTCACTGATGAGGTCGGGGTGAGATTAGACTGTAACCTTTGAGACTGAAGTGGGATGACTGTCGCTCAGAGTTAGATGAAATTGCAACTCATAGATTGAAAACATCGTGAAAAATGGAGGCTGATGGCATGTCTGTAATATGTCCTAATGACTGAACGATGGCCTCATGCTTCCTGGATTCGCACCAGCTACTGTCTGATATTGTGATCGGTCACTGTGTGGCTCTGAAGCTGCTCATTGTCTGGCCTTGGTTCAGTCATTCTCTGTACTTGTAGCCTGTCACCTTCGGATCACTTGGGGCTTACCACTGTGTTTTCTCACTGTCGTGCCTTCACTGTGCAGCCGATCATCATCTGCTCACTGTCATGTCTTCACTGTGTGACGGCCTTGTGTGTGCCGTGTGGTTCCTGTCATGTCCTTACATCGTCTTGCCTATCGCCGTCTAGTCACTGTCATGTTTTCACCGTGTGGTGTCTTATCCTTACTGTGACCTTACTAGGTCACTGTCATGTCCTCACCGCGGGGTCTATCGTCGTCTAGTCGCTGTCCATGTTTTTTAACCGTGTGGTCACAGTCACCGTTTCAGCTGTGCATGTCTTGGCGCCGGTCACTGCGCGATGTTGGCGCAGGGCGCTGTTCCTTGGTTGTAACGGTGCCTGTTCTGCGTGCGGTCTGTGGATGGGCCGGGGCCTGCCCGTCCTCAGCTGTGGTCGTGACCCAGCCCTGTCCGGCCGCCGCTGTGGTCGTGACCCTGTACTGTCCGGCCGCCGCTGTGGTCGTGACCCAGCCCTGTCCAGCCGCCGCTGTGGCCGTGACCCTGTACTGTCCGGCCGCCGCTGTGGCCGTGACCCTGTCCTGTCCGGCCACCGCTGTGGTCGTGACCCTGCCCTGTCCGGCCGCCGCTGTGGTCGTGACCCTGCCCTGTCCGTCCGCCGCTGTGGTCGTGACCTGGTCCTGTCCGGCCGCCGCTGTGGCCGTGACCCCGTACTGTCCGGCCGCCGCTGTGGCCGTGACCCCGTACTGTCCGGCCGCCGCTGTGGTCGTGACCTGGTCCTGTCCGGCCGCCGCTGTGGCCGTGACGCCTGTCCTGTCACGTCCGCCGCTGTGGTCGTGACCCTGCCCTGTCCGGCCGCCGCTGTGGCCGTAACCCTGTCCCTGTCCGTCGGCCGCTGTGGTCGTGACCCTGCCTGTGCCTGCCCGCCGCTGTGGCCGTAACCCTGTCCTGGCCCGTCCGCCGCTGTGGCCGTGACCCAGCCCTGTCCGTCCGCCGCTGTGGCCGTAACCCTGTCCTGTCCCGTCCCCCCGCTGTGGCCGTGACCCTGCCCTGTCCGGCCGCCGCTGTGCCGGTAACCCTGTCCTGTCTGTCCGCCGCTGTAGTCGTGACCCGGCCCTGTCCGGTCGCAGCTGGAGGTGGACCGCTCGGAGCTGGAGGATGCCCGCTGGTTCTCGGCATCCGAGCTGCTGGACGCCTACCAGCGCATCCAGCGCGACCTTGGCCTCAGGTGGGACACGGGCCGGCGGCGCCAGCTGCTGCCGCCACCGGCAGCCGCGCGGCACCAGCTCGGTAGCCTGGGAGGCGTGCGCACCGGCCCAGGCGAGGCACCGCCGTGATGCGCGCTGTATTCAGGCTTATTCAATAGCATGGCCTAATTTGAGGCTCGCCCGACGGAGTCATTTTACACCCTCGCCCGTCGAGGGGGAGGGGTGGTGAACCCCACTAATCTTTGATCCAAGGCAGGTAGAGGATCGGGATGAAAATCGTGGTGTTCGATATTTAAGCTTTCGTAAGATATCCGTTTTGTAGTTTCATGTCAATAGGTCACCTTCCAGTTCACGCGCATTGCCTTGAACTGTCCACATCTTAGATGACAGAAAATGTTTTAGCCGATATGACATCCAGACCATTTCAGGAAAAGCAATCCCCGTAAGCAACAGCATCTTGTTTGCTATCTTTTGGTCGTGAAAATGGGGGGTTCTTGGGTCCTTATTAGCCGAATGGCCTCTGTGGTCACGGATGCATCCCCGCTGACAAAGTGTCGGCTTGAGTGCGTGATATGAAGCCTTTTGACGGGTCAAGGTCGGACTTGATGATACGGGAAACTATTTCCTTTACGTGTGATATTTGGGCGATGCGGGAAACGTCATGTGGCGTAATATGGTGAAGTTTTTGCACGTGACTTGTGAAACTATTTTATGTGCCATACTTGGGACGATGCGGCAAACGTCATGTGGCGCAATGTGGTGAAGTTTTTGCACGTGACTTGTATGCGGCCATGTTAAAGACCAGGCCAAGAGAAACGCGGTCACAGTGCGGCACAGTGTATTGGAATGTGGAGCAATCATGACGCGGATTTTATGTAATGAAGAGCAAGGCCAATGCAGTGCGTTCAAGCTCTACCAGACGCGTTTTGCGGCTGCAATAATCACAATCGCAGGCCATGGTTCAGATGCTGGGTGTAGCACTAATGAGCCGACATCATAAACTAGTTTGACCTTTTGAAGAACAGTGACACATAATGCAAGAGCCGATATCAAAGCTAACTGAAAAATGACAAGTCACCAGTACGGCATCTGTGCACAAAGTGTGGCAAAAATTACGCCAACCAATACTGAACATTTCTCTGACTGAGAGAAATCGTGGGTCAATATATTCACCTCACTTCGCCGTGTGATGTCCGTCATCAAAATGATGTTGACGTGGTGGATCGTAGCAAAACATTCTTGCTAGTGTAGGTGCCATGAATCCCGCAGAAAGAGCGATGGGACATGTTTGACTAAGCATGTCCTCTGATGACCTGTCGTTCACCCTCAGCCACAGTCATCACTAAAGTTGACGATCTTTTTAGAACAAGCAAGTTACGCATTCAGTTCATAACATGTGATTTGTTTTCAGTGTGTTAAGAATTTTGACTGGTGTGGTCTTTACCAATGCTCATGTGGATGAAAAGCCATCAGTTGGACCTTTTTTGGACGCAAGTGTCAAAAATTACGAGACATGCTCAAAAGTCAATAAAGAAAAAGCAGAGAGGGCCTGCGAGTCCCCCGCCCTCCATGGCTGGGTGAGGGTTAGAGCGTGCTACTGGCTACCTGGCGTGCTTTAGATAAGGGCCATTTTGCGCAAAATCGATCCAACGCAGCCCTTCTGACGGCGAACCATTTTGATTTGAACGGATGTCAGCGGCGATGGAGCGCTACACGAAGGGGAACAGCACGCTGATTTTACATTTGGATGGCGTCTTGGGTGCTGGAGAATAGATCCCTAAGTCGTATGGTCCAGTTGATCTTCGTAATTTATCTGTCAGGTTACGCAGAGAGAACACCGGCGTCCTGTGGATTCCACCGCGCGGCACCATAGCGCACCGACTCATCAAGTCCTGGCTCGCCGAGCGGGGCCTGCTCAGCTAGTGTGCGGCCATCTGTGCTGCCATCTGTGCTGCCATCTGCGCGGCGATCTGCGCAGCTTGCCAGCTCCAGCCAACGGTGCGCTGACGCCGTAGAGTGTCAGAGTGTGCTGCCATCTGTGCTACCATCTGCGCGGCGATCTGCGCAGCCAGCCGGCTCCAGCCAGCGGTGCGCTGACGCTGTAGAGTGTAAGAGTGTGCTGCCATCTGTGCTGCCATCTGCGCGGCGATCTGCGCAGTCAGCCGGCTCCAGCCAGCGGTGCGCTGACGCTGTAGAGTGTAAGAGTGCTGCCGTGTATGGGTGCTCGTCGTCACCGTTGTGTTCAGCTCGTGTTCTGCTGTCTATGAATACCGAATGGTGCCAAACTGCACCGCCGGTTGAGAATCGCCCCGTTAATGCTCATTGCAATGGTACTGCGCCGCCGGTTGAGAATCGCCCCGTTAATGCTCATTGCAGTGTTACTGCACCGCCGGTTGAGAATTGCCCCGTTAATGCTCATTGCAATGTTACTGCACCGCCGGTTGAGAATTGCCCCGTTAATGCTCATTGCAATGTTACTGCACCGCCGGTTGAGAATTGCCCCGTTAATGCTCATTGCAATGGTACTGCACCGCCGGTTGAGAATTGCCCCCGTCAATGCTCATGCATCGTCCTGCACTGCCGGTTTGAGAATTTCCCGGTTAATGCTCATTGCAAGTGGTACTGCACCTCCGGTTGAGAATTGCCCCGTTAATGCTCATTGCAATGTCACCAGCGTGCTCGGCGTGTTGGCCGAGCTCGCCGCCGCCTGCCGTCGCCGAGGCAGTTGCGGCGGTCGGTCGCGGCTGGGGCCGGCCCTCCGTCGAGCGGAGAGTGAGTGTGAGCGTCGAGCGGACATCGGCAACGCCGCAAGCGCCGTGAACCGTCCCATGGCGTTGCGACACTAGTGTCGCCGCCATCCCCGCCAGAAGGGCGTCGCTGGTGCACTGAGACAGGCTGGCTGTTTCGAACCACTGTCATCCCCTGCCAGAGAGGCGGTGCGAGACAGGGCTCGAGGACAGGCTGGCTGTTTCGAACCACTGTCATCCCCTGCCAGAGAGGCGGTGCGAGACAGGGCTCGAGGACAGGTCGGCTGTTTCGGACCACTGTCATCCCCTGCCAGAGAGGCGGTGCGAGACAGGGCTCGAGGACAGGCTGGCTGGTTCGAACCACGAGCCACTGTCATCCCCTGCCAGAGAGGCGGTGCGAGACAGGGCTCGGTGACAGGTCGGCTGTTTCGAACCACTGTCATCCCCTGCCAGAGAGGCGGTGCGACACAGGGCTCGGTAACAGGTCGGCTGTTTCGAACCACTGTCATCCCCTGCCAGAGAGGCGGTGCGAGACAGGGCTCGGTGACAGCTCGGCTGGTTCGAACCACTGTCATCCCCTGCCAGAGAGGCGGTGCGGGACAGAGCTCGATGACAGGTCGGCTGTTTCGAACCACTGTCATCCCCTGCCAGAGAGGCGGTGCGAGACAGGGCTCGGTGACAGGTCGGCTGTTTCTGACCACTGTCATCCCCTGCCAGAGAGGCGGTGCGAGACAGGGCTCGGTGACAGGTCGGCTGTTTCGAGCCACTGTCATCCCCTGCCAGAGAGGCGGTGCGAGACAGGGCTCGGTGACAGGTCGGCTGTTTCGAACCACTGTCATCCCCTGCCAGAGAGGCGGTGCGAGACAGGGCTCGAGGACAGGCTGGCTGGTTCGAACCACTGTCATCCCCTGCCAGGGAGGCGGTGCGAGACAGGGCTCGGTGACGGGTCGGCTGTTTCGAACCACTGTCATCCCCTGCCAGAGAGGCGGTGCAGGGACAGGGCTCGATGACAGGTCGGCTGTTTCGAACCACTGTCATCCCCTGCTAGAGAGGCGGTGCGAGACAGGGCTCGAGGACAGGCTGGCTGGTTCGAACCACTGTCATCCCCTGCCAGAGAGGCGGTGCAAGACAGGGCTCGGTGACAGGTCGGCTGTTTCGAGCCACTGTCATCCCCTGCCAGAGAGGCGGTGCGAGACAGGGCTCGGTGACAGGTCGGCTGTTTCGAACCACTGTCTTCCCCTGCCAGAGAGGCGGTGCGAGACAGGGCTCGGTTACAGCTCGGTGGGTTCGAACCTGAGTTACCAGTCTGTCATACAGTTGTCTTCCTATACTGGTACAAGGAACTTGTTTTGGCTTTTGGCTACGCGCCGATTTAGCGTAGGTTTTCGGGTGGCGTTGCAATGCGTCCGTATAGTGTCCTGAGATCAGGGAACCTTGTGTGTCGTGTAGTGGTGGTCGGCCAGCGTAGTGTCTCAGGCTTGTCCGTAACGAACAAGTTTTGGTCAGCAGGAGGCGGGAGGAACGGAATATTGATGTAGCGAAAATCCTTCCGAACGGATCATTATGTACGTCAGTGCCGTGATTACGTGAGTGATTCGAAGCCCATAGTCATGCACTTCAGACTTGCAACCCGCCCTGAAAACGGTGCGATCTGTTGTCGAACTCGGTGATGGATTACCCACTGAGTCAGTGGTCCGAGCAGCCCGTGGCGTTAGGCTGAAAGCAGTCCCTTGTGGCGCACACTTTACTCCGCTAGCATGCGAGGAAACCCTCCTTTATGGAGAGCTTGTTACATGGAGGCGGTCCGTTACGATCGCCTGAATAGGCGTCACATCTGGCACTTCGTGTGTTCGACTAATGAAGTCGTGCGGTCCGATCTACTGAGGACCTGCGGTGACGGTTAGTGGGTGCAGGTGTAGTTTATTCAGATCTGGGCCCTCCTGGCCGTTTGGTGTCGACAGCGACTCGGTTTCGTGGCCTTAGATCATGATCAGGGAGCAAGACACCATAGGAACTCATGTTAGATTCTTAGCTGCGTGTTTTAAAGTTGCTGACCGTGCGCGGCGGTTTAGATGACCGCCAACAGTGTATGATTGTCTTTACTAGGTGATCATGGTTTGAATCACGCTCACGGGTGGAGCCCAGTTAGAGACAGTACTCAGCGCGCCGCGGCCAAACTGGTCACCATGCTGTCAGTGGGGGACGCTCCTCGTCCATACGTCTAGCCCTGCCGCGCTGCAGCACGGCCAGCTCACAACCGGGGCTCAGAGCCGATACGGCTCCCAGCGGGGTCTCACTGTCCCGGGACAGACGTGGGCCGCTGGGTGGCGGCGCGGCGCGGCAGCTTCTCAACGCGCGATGGCCGAGGGCCACGTGCTTATGCTCGGTTGGGGCAACGTCTACCTCGTACCACGGTTTCTAGGTCCAAAACGGGCAGCGTTACGACCGGCCTGACCGCCCGTCGGTGGTTGTTGGCCTTGGCGCTGCTCCGTGAATGTTGCGCAGTGTTCAGAGGGGCGTCTTAGTCGCTCGCGTCCTTGCCCACCTTGAATCAGATCGCGCAGAGGTGTGCGGTGGATATGTGGGGACCTGAGAGCTGGAGGCGCCTGTGGTGGCTGTTTCTCCGCGGCGAGGGCGGTCTGGCGCCGAGCGGGCGACCACGTGACGCGGGTCTGATGCCTTGTTTTATCACGGACTTGTGCACGCGGACAAACGTTCTACGTGCGCCACCCGCGCTGCGGTGCTCGCTAACTTACCTCACGGTCTGATGAAGCTTTTGCCACAAGACGGCGAGCGGCGCGGTGTTATCTTGGAGGGCCAGCGGCAAGCGCGGGGACTGACGCCAGTAGCTCTAGTCGGCCCATCGAGAGACGCCTCCGGTCGCCAGAGGCTGACCTCTGACCCCTGACCGGAGATGAGGCGTCCACGGCGCATTGACGGCTCGTGGATCGGAGATGAACGTCTGTGACAGATGACTGCATTGTCGCCCGGCCTTGCTCTTGAGGGTTCGTCCGAAGTCGATGAGTGATTCGCTGAATACATTGACACCGATCAACAGTCAGGCGGTCCCCTTGACGTCTGGACCTCTCGGCTCATTAGTGTCCGATGGCTGGGTTGCAAGCACCAACAGATAAAGCTGAACACTGGCGATCCGGGCATTTTCAGATTATTTTAACCATTCCAACGTGCAGTTTGGAACGAGTCAATGGGAGAACGACGCAGGCAGCGATGCTGACATGCGCCAATTAAGTCCAAGTCGGCTGCCAGTCTCCAGCGTGTGTGCCGTGCGATATCAGTGGCCATGCGGGTGTATCCGACCGGTTCCAACTGAAACGTGGGTTGAAATAAATCATTCGGATCGCCACCGAAGGCAGCCCGGCGTTTAGAGCGAGATGTCCAACCATGGGGACAAAATGTGTCAGCTGACGATCCGAGAGGGTTTCCATCATCCAGACATCAACCCCGATCGGCAGCTCGGTCTCCTTCCGTTTCTGCCGCATCAGCCGACTGCCGTTTGACCCCGTAACTGTCCGGACACGGCATCGAGCGATTCCCGTAATATGTATTAAACAAAACTGCAGCCGCCAGGCAATATCTGAACGGGGACGAGCATGCATGCACACGCGAGACGGATTCCAGCTGAGCACGGGCGTATGGGCGCCGATGTCATGGCACGGACGCAGGGGAAGCCTCCTGGACTCCGTCGTCCGGCCACACACAGACAGACGGGACGCAAGGCACGTGAGAGGAACGCGTTCACAGGGCGGGACTGACGCTCATTGAAAGCGCGAGGGGCGGGGAGGCGGGGACAACGGTCGCGACGAAATAGAACCTGAATAGAGTCGGGCAAACAATGACGACGGAGCACATGGAGGTAGCCAAGCAGACGGTGGATGAGTATCGGTGGGATAAAGTGGATCCTGCACATGGTTCTACACTTCCTATCCATCCCGCGCCATTTGGGCTCACGAGTGACGCTCCAGCAACACAAACACACCCATAATCTCTCAGCCAAGCGGCTCTTCTAGGTGACTGCGGAAATCGGAACACATGGATCCTTATCGCGGCTTTCGGGCGGAAACGATCGGGCAAACCCACAAGCCACGGCAAACAATCAGAATAACACAAACAGTCTGATGTTACTCCGCGAGCGAACGATCACACGAGCGATCACAAACCAACGGCGTTCGGAAACTGCAAAGCGGAACGAGCGTGAAAGTGCTGGCCAGACAGCGTTCCATCTGCGGCGCAGCGAGCCACACGAACCGACTGATTCCGCGCTGTGCACCACGTCCTGATCCTGTCCAGTTAACTGCAATTATCCCGCTCCAAGCGCTGTGCGCTTATCCCGCTCCAAGCGCTGTGCGCTCGCGCCGCTGGGAGCTGTGCGCTGGCGCTGCGCCTCAATGGGCCGAAAACATCACTTAGATAAGACAGAAGTGTTAGTCTTATTCCTCGGAGGAAACCCGGAGAGTGGAGATATAATTGAGTTGATATTTCGGTAACATGCCTTTATCGAAACAACAGCAGAAATGTTGTGAATAGCATCACTTCCGCTATTGTTTCGATAAAGGCATGTTGCCGAGATATTAATCCAACTACATCTCCGTTCTCCTGGTTTTCTCCGAGGAACAGGGCTAATACCACTGTCTTGTCCATGTGAATAATATTCCTCGCTAATGCACTGAACAACTTACGAAAACATCACTTGCCCGAGGCGTGCGATCGTGTTCCTTTGTATCGGCAAACACGCCAAACGGGGGGTCACTACCTCTCGTGCACCGGGTGCACTACGGCGGGTCACTACCTCTCGTGCACAGGGTACACTACGGCGGGTCACAATCTCTCGTGCACCGGCCATACTACGTCGCCCACGCCTCACCTCACTGTATCATAAAATAGCGCTTACTCCCATTAATTTGACTATGGTAGAACGACATTGCAAAAATATGATTGATAGTGTCCTTGAGCAATGTCAGGTTATAAAGCTTTATCACTGGAGTCGCCTGTTCAAACACAAGGCCAATTCACACTGTCGCGCTTCTCTGTGCCTCTGGTTGCAACCCACCAGAGTGTTGATCATGGGAGCGAGCGGTCGCGCATCTCTTCCCACATTAGAACACACTTTCCACAACATGCAGCCAGCAATGGACGTCGCCGCAGGGTCGTGCGTGCGCACGGTCGGCTTCGGCATACAATTACGGCGATTCAAGAGGTCACCACTCAAAAATGGGACCTTGGGCATCACTGGCAACTCAAACCAGATTTCGAATGTCATAACATATAACAGCCGAGATTAACGACGCTGTCAACCAATCCAAATTTAATTTCAAAGGTCGCTTGTTATCAGCCTTACTTTGGAATCGAAAAGCATCACCAGAGACCCTCTCAAAAAAGCACAGCACAAAGCACAAGCACAACCATCATGGTGATTCATAAGCAAGCAAAATGCCCAGCGAACGTTTGAACGTCACAAGCTCGCACAGCCGGCTGGTGTTCGCACATCACCAGCTTCCACCAGCCATGCTCTGGATGTCGCCGTCACCACCCGGGCAGTGACGCAGACGTCGTCGTCACCACACGAGCAGCGACGCAGACGTCGTCGTCACTACACGAGCAGTGACGCAGACGTCGTCGTCACCACCCGGGCAGTGACGCCGACGTCGTCGTCACCACACGAGCAGTGACGCAGACGTCGCTACCAACACACGAGCAGCGACCGGACGCTGGACGCCATCACCGCCTCTGCCTGTTCTTCCTGGCGGACGGCGGCTTCTTGCCGTTGACGGCGGCCACGGCGGGGCGCAGCTGCGAGGCGCGCCCCCAGAGCTGCTCGACCAGCGCGCCGGCCGCCGCGCGCAGCCAGGCCACCGTCACCGGCCACTCGAACTCGTTCGGCACCGTGCCGTGCACATTCGCCTCGAAGTAGCTGAACAGCGGGAACCAGATGCGCGTGCGCTTCTCGTCGGCGCGCTTCCGCGTCTGGGGAACACGGAGACTGTGTGTTAGCAGGGCGGCCAATGAGTTCGTGTGGCGACAATGCTGCCGTAGTGTTTGTCACCACCTGCGTCACCACCCGGTGTGTTGGCGTGGCCGTCATGTGTTGACAATGGCGTGATGGCCGGCTATGGTGGGATGAAGATGGAAATGGTGCAGGGCAGTGACGGGTTACGGTTTAGATGTTCGCTGATATTTGGGATCGCCGCACGGATTTGCGCAGATGACACATTGTTTGAAACTGGCAGGCTAAGCCCGGCCTCATGTCATTGACTTTGACATTGGCATTGACAAAATATATTGTGTTGCAAGGATTTACGTATTCGGCGCTTGTAGCTCAAGTAGTGCGAAGTGCACATATAACTTGGGCCCATAATGATCATCACGGATATGATCATAAGATCTGGGAGGGCGGGGCGGTGGTGTATAGTGGCTAGGGCTCAACTCTGGACCTACAGGTCTTAGGTTCGCGCCCCTGCCGCGCCACCACTGCATCCCACATGACACCCTGATAATGGCGTCCGTATCGAAACGACTCTGGCAGTCGGTGAGACGTAACGCCCCAATTATAATAAGATCTGTGCGGGTGTAGACGGTGCATTTGTCTAAACTACCCTACATTCGCTTACCGCAGTGTGCAGGCGAAACATTCCTGTACACTTCACTGCATTCGTCTACTACAGTGTGTAGTCGATACATTCGTCTACTAGTGTTTTGGTCGATATATTCGTCTGCACTACACTACATTCGTCTACTACGGTGTGTAGCTGATGCATGTGGCTGCTACATCGATACTACATTCCTCGTGCAGCTGATCTCACGTGTCTCCACCTTTCTGTCTGCTGGAATCTGACATGTACCATCACAAGAGCCTGAAGACGGGCGGTCCGCGGCTGGCACGCGCCAGCACCCGATACTCTGCAAACGCCGACCTTTACGTCTGTTTGCTAGTACGATTGTTTGTTCTGTCACAAGTCAACATTGGTTTGATGCTGTGGGGACGTCCGGCCGTCTGAACAAGGACATCTCTCCGAGTCATGGTCCCCGAGCTTTTGGAGATCTCAGCTGAGAATTTGTAGATTTCAAAAATGAAAATTTTCTATGCGAATTGAGTCAAGAGGCAGAACACTGCGAAAGTCGCAAGAGTAAGCCACCAGATCACGGAGCTTGGATTTGCATGCCCTCGAGGCATTACGCTACCACTTCCAAACAACCGTCCTCTTTGTTTCTGAAAACACAACTGTACGACCAGTGGCCGCAAAGATATAGGTCAACCAAAACCATGACTGGCCGCGCCGGGACACTAAAGCTGCCGTATCTTTGGATTGTTGGTATTAAGGCGTACTGGTATTAAGGCGTACACGTACTCGGCCTGCTGGTTGGCTCGTCACCGAACCAGCTGATGCATTACGTCACCAGCGGTCTGGCTGACGTTACGAGCAATGCGGTGGAAAGGGAATTGCTGCTAAAATTTCCGGCAATGGGAATTGCTGATGTCTATGACACAAATACAAACAAAACCACGTTATTTTATGGTAAATATTTGGCGCGCCAGCTCTGTTAATCAATGCTCAGGGGTTCAGCAAAATACGTAGAGAGTTAGTCATGGCTTGATGCCGGGCAGTTTGTGAAACCACTGTGTCTACCTACCAGTGACGTGCTTTCATTCCATAATGCCAACATGTCTCAGTATATATATATATATATATATATATATATATATATATATATATATACATATATATATCTGCTCATTGCTACCCCATACATAACACCATACGATCAATATAAGCCTAACAAATGCATGCCGCTGCATGACCAATTGCGGTCGACGCGCACTGAAACTCCGAACAAAGATATGTCAAATTGAGCCAAGGCCTTACGTGTCCCCTCGCCCCTCCCCCCCCCCCAAAGGATAATCTGGAATACTGTGCTTTAAGTGAGAACTGGAGTGCACGTCGAAAGAGATCTTCAAGTCGTCTGGTTCTTTATGTTCTTTAGTACGACCAGGAAATTCATAGGACCCAAATGGTGTTTATGCCACCGCCCAATCAGCACATACCCCAAACAATCTACGTCGCCCCATCTCCCCTTCACAAAGCATGCTTAGATCACAGCATGCTTCCACCCACCCATCTGATCACCCTCCATCATTACAACAAACCTCACACGCCAAGGAGTCCACACTCAGCCAGACCACACAACCAACCACACAAAAACAAATACGCCATTTGTGCATCAGGCATCCGTTTGTAGCCGGTGCTGGAGCGCCGCCGTCACCCAACTCACCATCGTGAGGCTGGCACTCACCACCTGGTTGTTGGCCAGCGTGTGGTAGTACATGAACAGGCGGGACGTGATGTAGAAGGCGATGAACACGTCGATCGAGTAGTGCTCGTGCGCCGACAGGATGAAGAACACGCCGAACACGTTCAGCAGCCAGGTGAACGTGTGCAGGAAGTAGATCCTGCGCGGCGTGTCTGTAACGTCAGGCAGCCGCTGAACGGCGCCGGGTCGGTCGACCGGCCACATCCGGCGCGACTTCGGACGCATGTTAACACCAGTGCTACGGTCTTCCCCGGAGGACACGGCCCCACTTATAAAAAGACAACAGTGACTCATTTCGACGGAAACCGAGACGTATCGGCGAGTTTGTGTATGCAGAGCGCTCGTTTGAGCATAGGGGCCCACCACCGCATTAGCATTGACCCCAAAGCTTGCGCCGTCATGGACGATCTATAAAACTGAGCAATTGAAGCGCACGTTGGTCCAAATACAACCATATCATGACCGTGGCAGTGGCCCCTGCCACCATGACCAGCCATCAACCCCAATTTCGCGAGGAGCAACGCTACACAAGCTGTCCTCAGCGATGGCCGTCGCCGCGGTCATCTCCGGCAGCGTCGGCGGCGAGCTCACATTCGGTGATGAAGAAGTTGAGCATGGTGAGCGCCACGGTGTGGCCCGAGAACATGTAGTCACCGCACGAGCGCACGCCCTGAATGCTGAGGCCGGCGTTCAGCCAGATGCTGTAGGCCTGCTGCAGCTTGGCGTGCAGGTCTCCGTAGGCCTGGCGACGGGGGGGGGGAAGGGGGGGGGTGTTTAGCCAGCGGACGGCCCGCATCAGCCAGCGAACAGGCGGTGTCATCGACACACACGGCCCGCGGCGATCAGGGGCTCACACTCCAGTCCGGCCGACATCCTCACTAACCCACGGGCCGCCTGGCTTTCACGGCCGTGTCTGGATCGTCATGGTCGTCGCACAGCATGCCCTGCCACCGATGGAGCGTGTGCGTTCACGACCGCGCCGCGCTGGATTTGTCACTGTGGACGAGCTGCGAGGTGTCGCACGCTGATTTGGAGTGGCGTCCGTCGCTCAGGACGTTCCGACGCGCGCGAGGTCCACCCGAGGAACGCAGGCGAGGTGTGATGCTTACCCGAGGAGCGCAGGTGAGGCGTGATGCTTACCCGAGAGCGCAGGTGAGGCGTGATGCTTACCCGAGGAGCGCAGGTGAGGCGTGGTGCTTACCCGAAGAGCGCAGGTGAGGCGTGATGCTTACCCGAGGAGCGCAGGTGAGGCGTGGTGCTTACCCGAGGAGCGCGGTGACGCGTGATGCTTACCCGGGGGGGGGGGCGCAGGTGAGGCTGATGCTTACCCAGGGAGCGCAGGTGAGGCGTGGTGCTTACCCGAAGGCGCCGGTGAGGCGTGATGCTTAACCGAGGAGCGCAGGTGAGCGTGGTGCTTACCCGGGAGCGCGGGTGACGCGTGATGCTTACCGGGAGCGCAGGTGAGGCGTGATGCTTACCCGGGGAGCGCAGGTGAGGCGTGGTGCTTACCCGAGGAGCGCAGGTGAGGCGTGATGCTTACCCGGGGGGGGGGGCGCAGGTGAGGCGTGATGCTTACCCGGGGAGCGCAGGTGAGGCGTGATGCTTACCCGGGGAGCGCAGGTGAGGCGTGATGCTTACCCGGGGGGCGCAGGTGAGGCGTGATGCTTACCCAGGGAGCGCAGGTGAGGCGTGATACTTACCCGGGGGGGGGGGGGGCGCAGGTGAGGCGTGATGCTTACCCCGGGAGCGCAGGTGAGATGTGATACTTACCCCGCAGCGCGGGCGAAGCGTGATGCTTACCCGGGGAGCGCAGGTGAGGCGTGATACTTACCCGGGGAGCGCAGGTGATGCGTGAGCTTACCCGGGGAGCGCAGGTGAGATGAGTGCCAGGTACAGAGAGTGAAGTGATGAGCATTGTGATGCAGCGGAGCAGGTACACCGTGCCGCACAGAGAGTTGAAGCGACGGATCAGGATAAATCTGAAAACGCACGTACACAGAGTGTAGAGCAAAGGTGACAGATCAGTCATCAGGTACACACCAACATGATCTGACAGCATGCAGCAAATATTTTACTAAAAGAATTTTGAGGACGCAGGCACAGGCATCCGAGTAATGTTTTACTTCACATAATGCAAGATAAACAAGAATCAATTCATCTCTAGCCTTGGCTATTTTAGTAATGATTATCATAGAATACGACATTGGGAAACAAAGCATAACATTAGGTACACATTATGGTCGTAAATGTCAGAAAAACACCGTCATGACCCATCAGCGAATGTATTTACGCCCAGAAGCACACCAGGCCCCAGTTATGCGGGTGGTCTGGACTGTCTGTCGCACCAGACGCACTGTGTACCAGGTCTGCTGGCGGAGGGGGGCCACTGAACAACGTGGGTGCACGAGGGGGAGAGAGAGAGAGAGGAGAGAGAGAGAGAGAGAGAGAGAGAGAGAGAGAGAGAGAGAGAGAGAGAGAGAGAGAGAGAGAGAGAGAGAGAGAGAGAGAAGAGGAGAGAGAGGAGAGAGAGAGAGAGAGAGATAGAGAGAAGAGAGAGAGAGAGAGAGAGAGAGAGGAGAGAGAGGAAGAGAAGGAGAGAGGAGGGAGGAGAGCGAGAGAGGAGAGAGAGAGAGAGAGAGAGAGAGAGAGGAAGAGAAGAGGAAGAGAGAGAGGAGAGAGAGAGAGATAGAGAGAGAGGAGAGAGAGAGACTAGAGTATAGAGAGAGAGAGAGAGAGAGAGAGAGAGAGAGAGAGAAAAGAGAGAGAGAGAGAGAGAAAGAGATAAGAGAGAGAGAGAGAGAGGAGAGAAGAGAGAGAGAGAGGAGAGAGAGAGAGAGAGAGAGAGAGAGAGAGAGAGAGAGAGAGAGAGAGAGAGAGAGACCCACGCCAGCCCCTACCGGCTGAGTGATCCCACCTGTGTTTGTGCACTAGAAGCACACCGGCCCAAATCAGCAACAGCGTCGTGCCGATCAGCTCGCAGATGCCGAAAGCCCACGGAATGTGCGGTATGTTATCTGTGGCCGGGGGCGGGGTTTTGCAAACTGAGTTGAGGGACTAAGAAGTGAAAAACGATGCAACACACACTAAAATACGCCAATAAACACGCTTCTCCACCGCACGTCTACTTTCTTCTCAAAGTTGGAAGGAAGGGACTGGAGCCCGAGTTAAGGGGGGGGGGATAGCGCCCCTGAACTGAATATGAAACTACACCCTTGCCTGTGGCACACAGCAGGCCGAGATGGAGCTCATTTACCGAATGTCATCATCAACGATAGTCAAAAATGCAAAACTCACACAATCTAAATGCAAAATGCGCTTTAGACAATCCCTCAAATCCGACATGCAAAAACCTGCTCAATTAAATCTGGTCAATCCAGTCCAGCCTCGTCTGCTTAATACAAACGTGAGGAAACAGCAGCCTGACACTCGCCCGAGCACCAAAAGGTTCAAACCATTCAAACCCCTGAACCCGCTGTTGGGTTCAAACCTCAGCTACCCGTCGACGCGGATCTGTCTACGCTCGTACAATAACAAACCGACTTCAGACGTCTCCTTGTACGAAAACAGACCTGGTCTTAACGGACATGCAGGACAGTTAAAGGATAACTTATATCAGAAAAGAGGTTGTTATAGCAATGCTCACAACCTTGTTCACTATGCAACAAGAGCACAACAACACTATCAGAAACAATACCGCAACACTCATTCCGGCATTTCAGAGCACGCGCTTAACTAGTGACTATCTAGCATACCGAGACAACAACGTACAGCATACCTAAGATGTGGCTTCCAGCGGAAATCAGTGGACGGCATACACGTTGGCTGGGACTGGTCAGTTTGTGTGACTTCAGCTAGCATGTGGTTAGCAGTCCGCGACAATGTGTTATGTGACGTCACCGGAAGGGAAGGTAAGGCTTCAGGAGCACATTCCAGTCGCAATAAAGCTTTAAATTCAAAACAAAATGCCAGCAGTTTAATAGCAGGTGTGGTTATAGTCCTGCATTTATGTCCAGCACAGTGACATCTTGTTGGCTAGACTGCGGGCACAACATGATGAGCCTGTACAATGCTGCAATTAGTGTTAAGCGGGCCCAGCTGCACGCGATTTTCCAACATGTGGCCCCGCGGATACACGGCAACCTCCTTCGCCCCCCCCCCCCCCCTTACCGAGGAAGATGTCAGGAAGCGGCGGGTACTTCTTCATGTCCGGCACACGGTCGTGCACGATGACCATGACGAAGGAGGTGATCCACGTCACCATCAGCAGGTACAGCATCGACAGCACGGCCTTGGCCCGCTCCGGCCGCAGCGCCGTGGCGTAGCCGAGCAGGGCACGCTCCCTGTGACAGGACGGGTGCACCGTGGTCAGCGGCCATCAGACGGGGTGCACAGCGTCAGGGGCGCCAGACGGGGTGCACAGCGTCAGCGGCGCCAGACAGAGCGCACAGCGTCAGCGGCGCCAGACAGAGCGCACAGCGTCAGAGGCGCCAAACGGGTTACACACAGTGTGCACAGCGTCAGGGGCGCCAGACGGGGTACACACGGAGTGCACAGCGTCAGGGGCGCCAGACGGGGTGCACAGCGTCAGGGGCGCCAGACGGGCGCACAACGTCAGTGGCGCCAAACGGGGTGCACAATGTCAGTGGCGTCAGACACAGGCCTTACATACGTATACAGACTTGATGTTTGCTTAATTCTGACCACATTGGTACACGGTTTTGCGTTTTGATAAAATGCTGACACACGTTTCCGCAAACGCAACAGTTCCTTCCCCACCGCCAATCGCGATCGGCTGACTCGTCGGCCGCCGACCGCGGCCAGCGCCGGCAGTGAAGTGCGACGCAGCGTTCATAAAACCGTCGCGACTCAGAAACCAGAGGGGCTAAAGACACGTTTTGTGTCAGATCATACACGATGAGTGCCCCAGAGGCTACTTGGAATCTGGGCGAGATCACGTGGTGATCACATCGCCAAGGAGATATTGGCAAAATAACTTTAAGGGGATGAGAACGCATCATTCCCGCATTCAGAGCGAGTGCAAAAGCTACATTTTAAAAAAAATCATGGGATTGTTTCTCCTTTGAGGCTTCACAATAGATAACAAAATTATATACTTTAAATACTTTATTTATTTATACTTTTATTACTTTTACATAGATTTTATACTTTTTACGTAGATACGCTGCTTATTCCATAGGGCAGCTCTGCTGACCACGTATGCGTATAAACGAAAGTGGGCCATATAAACGGTACAAAGTGCTCTCCTGCCAGATGACGCAGAATTCATTAAAAGCTGAGGAAATTCTGAAACTTAGCCGGGCAGCCCTCAAAGACAAGGGCACGAAAAGACGATTTCCGATTGAAAGTTCCATAGCGCAGATGGAAACACTTTTGTTGCAATTTCACAGGGTCTAAGAATACGGCCCTGCGCCTGCCCAGCTACACCACTGGCACCGCCACCTCCTGGTCTCCTTCGCGCCACTTCCACAACCTCCTCACCTCTCGGCCGCTCCGCCACGGCCTCCTCATCCTTCAGGCACCTCCTCCACGGCCTCCCCACCTTTCTATCACTTCCTCCGCGGCCTCGTCATCCCTCTATCACCCCCTCCACGGCCTCCTCACCTTTCTGGCACCTCCTCCACGGCCTCCTCATCCTTCTGTCCCCCTCCACGACCTTCTCACCTTTCGGGCACCTCCTCCACGGCCTCCTCACCTTTCGGGCACCTCCTCCACGGCCTCCTCGCCTTTCGGGCGCCTCCTTCACGACCTCCTCGCCCTTCTGTCACCTCCTCCACGACCTCCTCACCTTTCGGGCACTTCCTCCACGGCCTCTGAGTCGCTGGAGTCGGCCGTGAAGCGTCGCTGCTTTCGCGGCGACCCTAGCGGCACCGCTGGACTCGCCAGCTGGTCGCCCTCTGTCTGCAGCTGACACAGCCGGAGCCACAGTCGCTTGATGTCTCCCAGCACCTGGCCAACACAACAGCTCACAATATGGGCGCCGCCAAGTACAGCGCCAGCGTGGCAGCCACTATCGGATAAACATGACAAAAATGACACTGGATTCACCCATGTCCGAAGCCTCGAAAGCTAATGATAAAAAGCGCAACAACTTGCTAAGTTATCATCATGTTCGGTACAAGCATGAGGCAAAATGGTTATGTTAAGTTGCACAACTATTATCATTGCTTTTATTGTTACTCTTGCGAACTCGTCTCGGGTTTGTCGTCATGTGGTAGATGCGGCCCACTTACTCCAAAGAACACGATCAACAGAAACAGACATTAGCAGCTGTACAAAACCAACGCAGTCAGAACATACACCATCACATGAGTTTAATGATTCAATTTAAGTAGCGTATACAGCGGGTCCGGCAGCATGGTTGTCTTCGCCCACTCATACATCGCCCCGGACATGAAACCTGCAATGGTAATCCCCCTCAACCTGTTACATCACCACAAACATCGGGCCCGACAGGCACAGCTCTGATAGCGCACACCACGGGCCGGAGCATATTAGTCATCTCATGTGTTAACAGCAAGCAAGGTAACAGGTGCCTGATACATACAGCCCAACACTGAGCTGGTCCCCCATGAATGAGATGCTGATCAGCATCACAGAAGGTGGGTGACCTTGCCATGACCTTGCCCATCACGCGAGGTCAGGGCAAGCTCATGGCAAGGACACCATGGCCAGTGGTCGCTGACCATTGTGAAGCAGTCCTGTGAAGGTTACGA